CAGTGACCTGGCTCTTTCCAGTGACTTCCCTGACAAACCACTATAACCATCACAGTTTTGAAATGAAACTTTTTGTGAGCTATAATTTATTTAGCATGAGACAAAATTCCTGGTATATTGTCCAGCAGCTTTGATTTAGAAGACCAGCCGTAATCTCTCACTGCAATACAGCCTTTACTGGTCTGAGCGTTTACTGGTCTGAGTGTTTACTGGTCTGAGTGTTTACTGGTCTGAGTGTTTACTGGTCTGAGCGTTTACTGGTCTGAGTGTTTACTGGTCTGAGTGTTTACTGGTCTGAGTGTTTACTGGTCTTGTGTCGTCTGAGTGTTTACTGGTCTTGTCGTCTGAGTGTTTACTGGTCTTGTGTCGTCTGAGTGTTTACTGGTCTTGTGTCGTCTGAGTGTTTACTGGTCTTGTCGTCTGAGTGTTTACTGGTCTTGTCGTCTGAGTGTTTACTGGTCTTGTCGTCTGAGTGTTTACTGGTCTTGTCGTCTGAGTGTTTACTGGTCTTGTCGTCTGAGTGTTTACTGGTCTTGTCGTCTGAGTGTTTACTGGTCTTGTCGTCTGAGTGTTTACTGGTCTTGTCGTCTGAGTGTTTACTGGTCTTGTGTCGTCTGAGTGTTTACTGGTCTTGTCGTCTGAGTGTTTACTGGTCTTGTCGTCTGAGTGTTTACTGGTCTTGTCGTCTGAGTGTTTACTGGTCTTGTCGTCTGAGTGTTTACTGGTCTTGTCGTCTGAGTGTTTACTGGTCTTGTGTCGTCTGAGTGTTTACTGGTCTTGTCGTCTGAGTGTTTACTGGTCTTGTCGTCTGAGTGTTTACTGGTCTTGCCGTCTGAGTGTTTACTGGTCTTGTGTCGTCTGAGTGTTTACTGGTCTTGTCGTCTGAGTGTTTACTGGTCTTGTGTCGTTTGAGTGTTTACTGGTCTTGTGGTCTAAGTGTTTACTGGTCTTGTCGTCTGAGTGTTTACTGGTCTTGTCGTCTGAGTGTTTACTGGTCTTGTCGTCTGAGTGTTTACTGGTCTTGTGTCGTCTGAGTGTTTACTGGTCTTGTCGTCTGAGTGTTTACTGGTCTTGTCGTCTGAGTGTTTACTGGTCTTGTCGTCTGAGTGTTTACTGGTCTTGTCGTCTGAGTGTTTACTGGTCTTGTCGTCTGAGTGTTTACTGGTCTTGCCGTCTGAGTGTTTACTGGTCTTGCCGTCTGAGTGTTTACTGGTCTTGTGTCGTCTGAGTGTTTACTGGTCTTGTCGTCTGAGTGTTTACTGGTCTTGTCGTCTGAGTGTTTACTGGTCTTGTCGTCTGAGTGTTTACTGGTCTTGTCGTCTGAGTGTTTACTGGTCTTGTCGTCTGAGTGTTTACTGGTCTTGCCGTCTGAGTGTTTACTGGTCTTGCCGTCTGAGTGTTTACTGGTCTTGCCGTCTGAGTGTTTACTGGTCTTGCCGTCTGAGTGTTTACTGGTCTTGCCGTCTGAGTGTTTACTGGTCTTGCCGTCTGAGTGTTTACTGGTCTTGTCGTCTGAGTGTTTACTGGTCTTGTCGTCTGAGTGTTTACTGGTCTTGTCGTCTGAGTGTTTACTGGTCTTGTCGTCTGAGTGTTTACTGGTCTTGTCGTCTGAGTGTTTACTGGTCTTGTCGTCTGAGTGTTTACTGGTCTTGTCGTCTGAGTGTTTACTGGTCTTGTCGTCTGAGTGTTTACTGGTCTGAGTGATTACTGGTCTGAGTGTTTACTGGTCTTGTGTCGTCTGAGTGTTTACTGGTCTTGTCGTCTGAGTGTTTACTGGTCTTGTCGTCTGAGTGTTTACTGGTCTTGTCGTTTGAGTGTTTACTGGTCTTGTCGTCTGAGTGTTTACTGGTCTTGTGTCGTCTGAGTGTTTACTGGTCTTGCCGTCTGAGTGTTTACTGGTCTTGTCGTCTGAGTGTTTACTGGTCTTGTCGTCTGAGTGTTTACTGGTCTTGTCGTCTGAGTGTTTACTGGTCTTGTCGTCTGAGTGTTTACTGGTCTTGTCGTCTGAGTGTTTACTGGTCTTGTCGTCTGAGTGTTTACTGGTCTTGTCGTCTGAGTGTTTACTGGTCTTGTCGTCTGAGTGTTTACTGGTCTTGTCGTCTGAGTGTTTACTGGTCTTGTGTCGTCTGAGTGTTTACTGGTCTTGTCGTCTGAGTGTTTACTGGTCTTGGCGTCTGAGTGTTTACTGGTCTTGTGTCGTCTGAGTGTTTACTGGTCTTGTCGTCTGAGTGTTTACTGGTCTTGTCGTCTGAGTGTTTACTGGTCTTGTGTCGTCTGAGTGTTTACTGGTCTTGTCGTCTGAGTGTTTACTGGTCTTGTCGTCTGAGTGTTTACTGGTCTTGTCGTCTGAGTGTTTACTGGTCTTGTGTCGTCTGAGTGTTTACTGGTCTTGGCGTCTGAGTGTTTACTGGTCTTGTGTCGTCTGAGTGTTTACTGGTCTTGTGTCGTCTGAGTGTTTACTGGTCTTGTGTCGTCTGAGTGTTTACTGGTCTTGTGTCGTCTGAGTGTTTACTGGTCTTGTGTCGTCTGAGTGTTTACTGGTCTTGTGTCGTCTGAGTGTTTACTGGTCTTGGCGTCTGAGTGTTTACTGGTCTTGTCGTCTGAGTGTTTACTGGTCTTGTGTCGTCTGAGTGGTCGTCTGAGTGTTTACTGGTCTTGTCGTCTGAGTGTTTACTGGTCTTGTGTCGTCTGAGTGTTTACTGGTCTTGTCGTCTGAGTGTTTACTGGTCTTGTCGTCTGAGTGTTTACTGGTCTTGTGTCGTCTGAGTGTTTACTGGTCTTGTGTCGTCTGAGTGTTTACTGGTCTTGTCGTCTGAGTGTTTACTGGTCTTGGCGTCTGAGTGTTTACTGGTCTTGTCGTCTGAGTGTTTACTGGTCTTGTCGTCTGAGTGTTTACTGGTCTTGTGTCGTCTGAGTGTTTACTGGTCTTGTGTCGTCTGAGTGTTTACTGGTCTTGTCGTCTGAGTGTTTACTGGTCTTGGCGTCTGAGTGTTTACTGGTCTTGTCGTCTGATTTGAGCAGGTGTCTCACCCAGGCCTGCTGAAACTCAGCGGTCTCAGAGAAGGGATTTACACGTTTGAGATCACCGTCACCGACACCGCGGGACAGAAGAGCTCTGACAACGTGTCGGTCAGTGTGCTCGCCCCTGCTCCAAACGCTCAAGGTCAGACATCACTGGGTTATCTTCCTTCAAAATCAAAACGGTCTCACAGTTGCATGTGAACATGGATGATTACTTCTGTAATTTTCTATGCGAGTTTCTGTGTGTGTTTGTCACAACTAGTGATGTATAAAGTGCAGGAAGACGAAGGGTCAGAGCTCAAATAGTTCTAAAACTTACAGGATATTTTCAGTATAATGAACTCTTATGTCAAAAGGTCAAGTAAAATTTGATTTCTCAATTCATGACCCCTTTGAGATAATAGTGATGTGCATGTAAACATGGTCCGCTGAGGAGTAATATGGATATTTTAGGGACGTTTAATGTGTATCCTATACAGACAAGCTATACATGTGTACATATATATGAACATGGATTTGGGGAAGTTGCATTTCTAAATTCACCCCCTTAAAATACAGTACATCCGCAAGAAATTAAAAAAACACTAGTAGAGGGAAATAATCTAGGTAATCCCGTTAGTTGACCTCACTAATCGACTAGTCAATTAGTCCACTTTTTGATTATTATTATTATTTGTAAAAGAATATTTCTTTAATCATAATAAATGACCTTTAACACTGTTTCTTTCTGCTGTGCATGTGTTTTTATTGTCTTGGTTTCTTACCGTATTGTTCTGATGTAATTGTAATTGTAATTGCCCGGTGGGTATTAATGAACTGTAAACGTGAATCTGTATGGACGTGGCACAGATGTGTGTGTGTCTCTGAAGTGTGTACAGGTCACTGTTCTCGGTATCAGTTCATGTGTGATGATGGCTGCTGTATCGACATCGGTTATGCCTGCGATGGAAAGCAACACTGCCCTGACCGATCAGATGAAGATTTCTGCCAAAACTGTAAGCCTAGACCACCAAGCCGTCTTCTCAAAAGCCTTTCCAGTACCACAATTATTTTAAGATGTATAAAAGTGTTTGGTCTGTTTTATAGTTGATGCTGGTCACAAGTCCAACCCCTTGTCTAAACATGGGCCAGATATACAAAACACTGAAGCAGGAGCGCAGACGCCATCAGAGATACAGCTCACTGACAGCCCTAAACCTGCACAACACCAACATTATGGCTTCAGCAACCAAGGTAATGCATAAGATACATCATTCAAAGACACACACACATGATGAGTTCAGAATTCATCCACTCTTTTCCTTTCCATTCTCTTAACAAAGCCTGTCTATGGCCATATTAACCAAAAATGGTTCAAGTGACCCGATTCCGTGGCACAGATATGACCCACGAACGTAACAAGCATCCGATATTCTCAGATCGCTTTCAGGCCTCATTTACATGTGCAAATAAATCTGATATGAATCGGATATATCGACTCGGGTGGACACCAGCCGTGATCACATGACTCTTTTCAATGCCAAAGCTGCAACCAGGGCTCTCCTGTTTATTTTCTTCTCCGGCTTAAGAGACACATGTTTTGCTGACCTTTAAAGAAAAGCAAAAACTTGTAATATCATTTGGTCTGCGTCCTTTGCAATTTGCACCATTTTTAGTTCCTTTTTGGCCTAAGCTTTTACGGGTCAGTACGTTAGGTTAACCTTGGGTTGCTTCGCCAAGTGTGTACTGTAAATGCAGATATCGGATATGAGTCACTTTTAAAAGAAACAATCAGATATAGTCAACAAATCGGAATTGGGCATCAAGACCTGCAGTGTAAATGTGGCCTATATCTAGACACTTGATGTGTAGAGAGCAAACGTGTGTGTGTGTGTGTCAGATCCCTGTGCAGCGCCCCCAGTGGCCGGCCCGTGTAAAGGGGTTTTCCCGCGCTGGTATTATGATCCTGAAACGGGAGACTGCCGGCACTTCCAGTACGG